GGCCCGGCTGCCCGAGCAGGCCGCGTGCGGGCCGCCGGGCCCGAGGCCGGAGCCATGGGCGAGACCAAGATCATCTACCACCTGGACGGACAGGAGACGCCGTACCTGGTGAAGCTGCCCCTGCCCGCTGAGCGCGTCACCTTGGCGGACTTTAAGGGCGTTCTGCAGCGACCCAGCTATAAGTTCTTCTTCAAGTCTATGGACGACGATTTCGGGTGAGGATGGGCCCGGCCTCACCTCCGGGGGACCCCCGGCCCCTCCGACTTCTAGGGGCCCACTCGGCCAGTTTTGGACTCCCCTTTGCCACTCCGGCTTCTAGCCCTACTCTGGATTGTAGAGGGTGACCGTGTCGTTTGGAGGCCCCCTGGTCGTTTTCAGAAGCTGGTAGAGCCCCTCTAGGGACTTTCCCTGCCCCTTGGGGGGAGCATTAGCCGCCGCCCCCCCCTTTTTTGGAGGGACGTTCAACTTCCCAGGAGTTTCTGCCCACTTCAGCCCCCTCACCTCCTCGGAGACCGGCGGCCCACATAGACACACCCCCAACCCTTCCCCCAACTCTACAGCTACAGTCCCCAACCCTCCTTCTGCCAAGGGAGACACCTTTTTTTGCAAGACTTGGGGTGTTTGGCATTCGGCCTTGGCCTTCTTCATCCATTCAGCTCCACAACTCAGAGCCATATTTGGAGTATTTTGCATCTAAGGGTTATACTGAGGGACTTTGAACTGGGGCAGCTGGAGTTGGGGGTGCTCAGGTGCCAGGCTGTAAGCTAAGGCTTGCAGACATGATGTCTATTTAGCTGTCTCTCCTTTCCGTTGTGGGAGACTCTGAATGTTGTCCAGGGAGCAGAGTGCCTGAACCTTGGGGCACCCACTTAACACAGGTGCTGATTTACCCCCTCTGAATCGCGGGTCCTTTTCCCTCCAGGTAGTGGCCAAGGGGAGCTAGGGGGGAAGGACCTCGCCCTGGATGGGAGGGCAGGGAAGAGTATCTTGGTATTCTCCATCTTCCACTCCCTGGTGGAGTCTTCCTCCAGCTGCTGGGCTTTGGACAGACAGAGTTGGGAAGTAGCAGCGACTTCCCCTTTAAGAGGGGATGGAATGTTGGAGCCGGAAGGTTCTGTAGCAGCTGGCCTGAGAGGGGGAGCCTGGCGATCCCTTTACCCCCCCCCCCACCCTGCAACTCCCAGGGGGCTGGGGGAGGGGGAGGCCCCCACACTAGCCTGCTCCTCGCTAACTGGGCGCTGGGCCTAGAGGCCTTGTAGAGAAGGCCTTCCTGGGCCTTCCAGGCCTAATCACTGCCTCTCCAATCCTCGCCTGAGGCCTCCTGCACAGCTCTTTGGAACGAGGCCCCAGAGTTAAGGGAGGGGAGATATTCAGCTCCCCAGTGTTCATCAATTGGGTATCTCTCGGGACCCTGACTTACTCACCTCCCTACGCCCCACCCAGGCCTGGGAAGCACGCACCTTCCGCCTTTTGCCTGGCATGTTTTGCTAGAACTCAGGGTTTGAAGAGTCCCTGCGATCATATGCGTGAATGCTTTGTATAGTGGGAAGCACTATGCAGCTTCTCACCTCATTTCTTCTGTGGTCATGGCCCCTGGCCTAGGGTAGTATACTCCGGGTGTAGTAAAGATTGCCTGGCTTCAGTCTCTGGATTGCACCCCCCTGCTTCAAAGGTTCTGAAGAGTGATGGGTTTGTGAGGGGTGCCATGAGGGGGTATAGGCCTTGGTGTGATAAAAGAATAGAGTTAGAAGAGAACAAGATACTGCCTCAGGGACATGGGGTAGGGGGAAATCAGCCACAGTCCAATTTGCTGGGGCCACCCTGGGACCAGATGTCTTGAGGGACTAGAATAGGACTATGTCTCCACCTCCCACTCATCCCTGGCTCACTGGGCCTACCCCCCACGTCCTAAGCCTAGACCTTCCCCAGCTGCCTCCCACTCTCTCAGTGCTGCTGTCAAGTCAGGCCTAACTGTAGTCATAGCAGAACCGACAATTACCCTGCCTCGCTGTTTTTAATATTGTTATTTAGGTTCACTGTCAATCTGTTTACTCTTTCTGAGCAAACAGAAAGAGCTTGACCCAATCTGTAATACAAAATCACAGGCCTGATTTTCTATTTATATTTTTATTTAAATATAAACATATTTAAAGTATGTTAAAAACAAACATTTAACTATTGAATTAAGCAATGTTCAATTCCACTCAAAGCCTCCTTGCGTGCATCTGTGCTACTTGAACCATTTTTGCAAAATATCAGAGCAGGCCATTTTAATAGAGTTGAGAACAATGCCAAAAATGAAGTGGAAGAGATTGATCTTGTTTTTATCCCCAAAAGGATTATTGAGCAGGAGGTTCATTAGGAAGGGAGGACTAATAGCTGACAAGCTTATATATATTTATACAAATGTATAATACATATATTTTTAAAAGATTTATTTATTTATGCATACAGGACTGGGGTACAAGCCAGAGGTACAGGAGTGGTGAGCGGATTCACCAGTGACAGTGACAGGCAGATCTCCGAAGTACACTGCTGAGGGGAGCAGTGGGTGGGTCAGGCGAGGTCTGCCACGCCATGTGGATCACCCCCGGCTAGCTTGCAGTGCTGCATCCTTACCCATTGCGCCACCAGGGAGGGCCTATAATACATATTTAATTTAAACTCTTTGCATTACTTACAGTGCGCCAGGGACTGGTCTAAAGGTTTTCAAATCTTTACTCACTTAATCCTCTTTACACTTCATGAAATAGGCAATAATATCCCCAATTTATAAGGTGGAAACTAGAACACAAGAAACTTAAGCAACTCATCCTTGCAGAGCTATTGGGTTATTGGAAAAGTTATGATGCATTTTTGCATGGACCTTTCCAACAACCCAGTAGCATCAGAGCTGGATTCAGCATCAGGAATCTGGCTCCAAAGTCTAAGGCCTTCATCACACAATTGTAACTGCTGTTGTTATGATCACCATTTTACGGATGCATCCTTTCTGAGGGAGATGCTGAGCCTTGGCAAATTTGAGAGGTGATAGAACTGCCCCTTACCCTACCTCCAGGAGAAGAGGGTCTGTCAGGCTAGTGACACCTGCTGACAGATGGGGAAGTGAGTCAGAGGAGGAAGGCTGCTGTTTCTCCCCTTTCTCTCCAGGTTTCCCCACTGGGGTTCTAGCTTGTGAAGCCTAACTCTCATCTGGTCCCTGGAAGTATTTGTCAAGTTTAGGGTACGCACAACTTTAAATAATTTGGGAAATAGGGCCCTCCCTGGTGGTGCAACAGGTTAAAGCACAGCACTGCAAAGCTGTTGGCAGCCACTTCCACACAAGTTCCATCCCCTGACAGGGAGCTGACCCACACAGCACAGCAGACCTCTCCTGACCCGCCCACTGCCCCCCTCAGCAGTCGATCTGCCTGTTATGCTCCCCACTCTGTCTCTGGTGAATCCTCTGGCACCCCCCCACACACACACCCCTTTGGCCTGTATCCCAGTTCTGTGTGCATAAATAAATAAATCTTTTAAAAAAAATTTGGAAATAGAGGGAGAATAAGTATTTTCAATACTGAGGAGATGGTAGATGGAAGAATAGGTACCCATGCTAGAGTGGCCTTGAACTGCGAACCGTGGTGTTGCTTTCCCTCTCCACACACTGCCTATTTCTGGGTCTTCTGGGAGCTCTCTTCTTTCCTTCCTTTCTCTGGGTCTACATTTTCCTACTCTTGGTTGAGCTTTTAAAGTTATGGCACTGTCCTTTTGTCCTTAACTGACCTAGCTCCTTGCCAGGACCCAACACCTGAGCTCACATGTTCCAGTGAACACATCTGTTCACTTCCCACTTGCAGTGTACTGCCACAGGCCAGCCACTGGGCAGTAACCGCCCAGGACAAGGCAGGCTCCAGGTCTGATGCCTCCCAAGGTCCAGCAAAGGCTTTTTCATTGAAGCACAATGAATGATGAGCAGATTTGTTTGGTCCCTACCCTTAAAATTTTCCCCCTAATTATAGTACATAGATCCTGCTGAAAGTTAACGTTGTTGACAGGGAGTGTATAAATGTTATGGAACTCTGAGCCCTTCAGTGCCACTTTGGGGGGAGAGGCCTGTGTGAGGTCCCCCAAGGCTGCTGAAGATCAGCTGATCATTGTGAGTCAGCAGAGCCTTGGCGACCTGTCAGTGACCCCCCAGAAAGAGAGGAAACATCTGTAGCATGGTTGTTGGTAGGGCCTGCTCAGGATGGGGGAGACTCACCCACCGGCTTCCCACCACAGGGGGACCCTCTCCAATCCCAGCATGCATGCCTCCTCTACCTTTGAGCCCTGGGGCTGCCCCTCTCTTTTCTTCCCAGCCTGTTCTGTCTCTGGGCTTTTTGTCCTCGTTGGCCTGAATAGCATGATTTGAGCTGCTTTCTTGGGGTGGCTGTAGGGTTGGAAATGGTGGAGTTGCCAGAGCTGGATTAAAGGGAGGAGGGCTCAGCCGTCAGTCTTGGCTGTGAGTCCAAGAATGTGAGTATCGCAAGGAGCCAAGCATATTCCAGGCTACTCCAAGTGCAAGAGGGGAACAGGCTGACCGGCTCCTTCCTTGCTTTCTTCCCTCTCTGCCCACAACTCTAGGCACATGTGTTCCTCTTGCCTCTGATCATATCTTTCTAGTTCTATACTCCTGCGATGTTTGATGCAGTGTGGGGTCCTTAAACTTTTCATTCCCTTTCTTGACCCCAAATGGTAGGCAAACTGTAGACTTGTTGACTTACTGCATGCCCCATACCAAGTTACATGTTGTTACTGCATCGTACCACCACCCTCACCCCAGATCCCCCGTGACTCCCTTACCTTCATCCTCCATACAGACCCACATCACCTTCAGTTTATAGGAAGGGATATGAAATTCCAAGGAAAGGATAGGTTTTGGCGTCAGAAGCCTGGAGTTGAATTCCAACTCTGACACCTTATAACTCTGACCTTGGACAAGTTACCAAAGTTTTTCAGTTTTCTTATTTTAAAAATGAGGATCATATCTATATGATGAAGCTAATGTGAATACTATATGTTGTAACTATAGGGAAATGTGATGGTATAGTAGGTCAGAAGAAATGCTTTGAAGTCAGGCTGACTGGAATTCAACTTCTAGCTCTTCACTTATTAGTGGTGTAACTATAGTAGTCGCCCCCCCACTTGCCGGGGATACATGCCAAGACCCCCAGAGAATGCCTGAAATTGCACACAGTAGTAAATCCTCTATATTCTATGCTTTTTCTTATACTTTACATACCTATGATAAATTATAACTTAGGTCTCACAAGAGACTAACAATAATAACTGATGTTAAAATAGAACAATTGTAGCAATATGCTATAACAATTTCTCTTAAAATATCTTACTGTGTGCAATATTTTCAGACCACCGTTGGCCTGAGGTAAATGAAATCACAGAAAGGGTGAAGGGTGGGGAGGCTGCTGAACCTCCTGAACTGAGTTTACTCTTACACAGTGACGACGAGACTGTGTCTTAGAACATTACTGAGAGTATTACATGAAATGATACAAATGCTTGGCCCATAATGCATAAGGACGAGCACTTGTTACTATTAATTTTTATAATGGCAGTGAAAGATGTTTAATGAATGTCTTTTCTTTTTCTCTTTCCTAATTTCCTGAATTCCTCGCCTATACCGCCCACATGGCTGTCAGGGTTCCCGACTGAGAAGGGAAAAGACAGTAATCAGGGTGTGCTTTTTCCTAATTTAGGGTCAGCAGGAAAGAGAAAAGCCAGCCCAGGAGAAACATGTTGGATGGGTAAAGCACTCTTGAGGTTTAGGGCGTGGCTGCACTCTTAGGGGACAGCTAGCTATTTGCCAGGTGTAATTTACAATCACCTGATGACTCAGCGGACACCCCAGAAGTCTTTCTGGGGTGTTAAAGAGCTGCCCTTGGGTGACTCCCCCCAGTTCTGTTTGAGCAGGCTGGTGCTGGTGATTTGATTCCTGATTTTTTTTTTTAAGATTTATTTATTTATTCAAACAGAACTGGGGTACAGGCCAGAGATGCAGGGATCAAACTCATGCGGAAGTGGCTTAAGCTTTTCAGTGCTGTGCTTTAACCCGTCATGCCACCAGGGAGGGCCCGATTCCTGATTTAAAGTAAAGGAACACCTGAGAGAGTTGAGGTGGTGAGGGCACTTCCATTTTCTGCTCCAGAAAACTTGCTCTGACTCCCCCCACCACCTTTTCCCTTCAGGGTGGTGAAGGAAGAAATCTCAGATGACAATGCCAAGCTTCCCTGCTTCAATGGCCGAGTGGTATCCTGGGTAAGATATCCTCCTTAACCTCCTTCCTCCTGTGGGCTGGATGGCGGAAAGGCCTGGCTGAGATTGCAGCTGGTAGTTTTATGCTTTGACATTTTAATCTTCCTTGAGTTTTCTGACTGAACTGTTTCTCACCCCAGACCTGATAGCTTTGATGACAGGTAGGGGAGTGGTGGGAAGAGGGAGCAAGCAGATGCAAAAATGTCTCTTTTGCGCCTTGAGGCAATCTATCTCAGGTCCCCTCTGTCACCTGCCAATCTGTGCCCTGGACCACCGGCCTTCTTTTTCTGCCCCCAAACCAATTCACCCACCCGTGCCTTCTAGAAACCCTATTAAGCCGGCCCTGGGTCTTTTCATCTCTCTGCCCTTGCTGGTCTTCTCCATGTCCCCTGCTTCATTCTCCCTAGGCCCTCATGCCTGCCAGAACCAGCTGTCTCCCTGTTCCCTCTGCTGCATGCCCTGTAGTACTCACCATTATCTTTCCTTCAGCTGGTGTCAGCTGAGGGCTCACACCCAGAGCCAGCGCCCTTCTGTGCTGACAACCCTTCGGAGCTGCCACCACCCATGGAGCGCACAGGAGGCATTGGGGACTCCCGGCCCCCATCCTTCCAGTGAGTGTGACCCAAGGGTGGGGAGGGCCATGGGGGGGACCGTGTCAGCTCAGCCCAGGGCTGGGGGAGGGAGCCCCCAGCCTGCCCCCTCCTCCACCAAGTCCTTTCTTCCTTATAGCCCTCACGCTGGTGGGGGCAGCCAGGAGAACCTGGACAATGACACAGAGACAGACTCCTTGGTGTCTGCCCAGCGGGAGCGGCCACGCCGGAGGGACGTTCCAGAGCACAGTGCGTTCTTCCTGAAAAGGCCCCACCCCCGCCCCAGCCCTCCCCACAGCTTCCACTCAGCTACCTGTCTATTGATCCTTCCTGAGCTCTGGGTATGCCTGGCCCAGTGCAGACCCTGGCCCGCCCCTCTCCTCCCTTCCCTTCTGTATCAGGCACTGTGAATCCAGCTGTCTCCATCCCCTGCAGCAACCCGGCTAAATGGAACTGCCAAGGGGGAGCGGCGGCGAGAGCCAGGGGGCTATGACAGCTCATCCACCCTTATGAGCAGCGAGTTGGAGACCACCAGCTTCTTTGATTCAGATGAGGATGACTCCACCAGCAGGTGGGGCTTTCATTTCTTGGGTACTGCCGGGCAGGTGACCCCTGCGGGCCCAGGGCCCTGAGGGTACTGGGCTTCTGAGAGAGATATGGACTTTGTGTTGGGGACCAGGGCCCTGCAGTGCCTGTTGTGGGGCAGGGCTGGGCCAGCCTGGTGGGGAATGACTGTGGGCCCCACAGGTTCAGCAGTTCCACTGAGCAGAGCAGCGCCTCACGCCTGATGAGACGACACAAGCGGCGGCGGCGGAAGCAGAAAGTTTCACGGATTGAGCGGGTATGGGACCTGGGGTGCAGGGAGGGTGGGGCAAGGCCCAGGCTTGCGCTTTCTTACATGCCTTGCCCTTGGGGTAGTGTTTGGAACCTTAGAGGGGTGGTATTTGAGGACTCACCTTGAGGAGGAGCTAGGCAGGAGCAGTGAGTTCCTGCCACCCCTGCCTGCTGCTCAGAGCCTCTGTCTGTTCCAGTCCTCGTCCTTCAGCAGCATCACGGATTCCACCATGTCACTCAACATCATCACGGTCACGCTCAACATGGGTGAGTCTGGTGAAGTGGCACTGTCGCGCACCTGTTCTTTGTCAGACACTGGGCAGACTCGAGTTCAGAGAGGCCCAGGAGACATTGCCTGCTTAGAATCTTTCTTTCATAGCATAAACGCAGAGCCCTGATCTCATCACCAGGGCTAGCACAGAGATAAACATGGAGGGCTGTGGAAGCGAGGGAGGCTTCCTGGAAGAGCCTTTTCTGGGTCTCCTCTCCCCATTTTCTAGCTCTCACGTTCTTTCTCTCTAATTTCTACTCTGGGACTTTTATCTCAACTTCCTCTTTAACAAGAGACAGCAGGGTATAGTGAAAAGAGCCCAAGTTAGAAATTTAAGTCTGAAATTGAATCTGCCGCATACTGGCTTTAAAAAGACACTTACATTGTTTCTGAGAGTTGCCTCCTCTGTAAAGTCGGACTAAGTTCCTTCCTCTCACAGCCAACAAGGGTTAAATTAAAGCACACTTGAACATGCTGAACAGAGTGCCTGATTCAGGGTCTATATATGTTGGTTCTTATCCCTTTCTACCCTTTCCTAATATGGGGCTCAGAATTTGAATAGGAACCTTGCTCCCTTCTCAAGGCCTTATTACTCTCTATAGAAAAGTATAACTTCTTGGGCATCTCCATTGTGGGCCAAAGCAACGAGCGTGGTGACGGAGGCATCTACATTGGCTCTATCATGAAGGGTGGGGCCGTGGCTGCCGATGGACGCATTGAGCCAGGAGACATGCTGTTGCAGGTACTGTTGTTGCCCCCCCCAACCCCTCGGTGCTGGTGTGGATAGGAGGTAGGGAGAAGTCCCTCCCCTATTTACCCTGTTCGTTCAGAGGCCTCTTGGTGGAGGGAGGACCCCCTGATCCAGCAAGTCAACATCCTTGCCCCCTCCCTACCCCAGCTGCTCATCCCACTCCTGGTCCTCTTTTCCAGGTAAATGAAATCAACTTTGAGAACATGAGTAATGATGATGCAGTCCGAGTGCTGCGCGAGATTGTGCACAAGCCTGGGTACGGATGGGACGGGGCGTCAGGGAGGAAGGGGGACGCATTTCTGGCTGTCCTGCAAGGGGTTGGGGCTGGCCACCATGCATCTTGGCCTCACCAAGGACACCCATACTTCCAGGCCCATCACCCTGACTGTAGCCAAGTGCTGGGACCCAAGTCCACGTGGCTGCTTCACCCTGCCCAGGAGTAAGTGGATGGGGGCCTCAGTCCTAAAGCTGGTATTTGACATAAGTGAGCCCTTGTCTGTCCTTCCTTCTTTGTTGCTCTGAACCTCCACACCTACCCTGTTGGGCCCAGCAGTGGGCAGGACAGGCAGCCCCTGACTCCTCACCCTCCCTGCAGGTGAGCCCATCCGGCCCATTGACCCTGCTGCCTGGGTCTCCCACACAGCAGCCATGACTGGCACCTTCCCTGCCTACGGCATGAGCCCCTCCCTGAGCACCATCACCTCAACCAGCTCCTCCATCACCAGTTCCATTCCTGACACAGAGCGTGAGTATCCAGTCCTGTTCCTTGGGGTCAGGAGATGGGGCCCGGTAGTGACGAAGGGACTAAGTGTGGCTCACATATTTGAGTGTCCAGGGGAGCTGGAGACAGAACTCGGTGGATTGCGGCTACCGCACGCTGCAGCTTCCCTCGGTGGGCACCTGACTCTCACTAAATAGTATTTTCTCTGAACCCGTGTTGCACACCCATGGAGCCTGTTTCTGCTTGTAAGATGGGACTAACGATGTGCACTTTACCAGGTTCCTGTGGGTTTAATGAGAGGATATAAGTGAGGCATCAGTCACAGTGTGTGACTGCTCTTTTTATCATAACCCATTATACACTGTGTTCATTGCCTTCATTGACATTATTTCATTTTCTCTTCAGACATCCTTATAAAATAGATACTAAAGTCCCTAGTTTTAGGAAAAGGGAACTGAGTGTCCAGGAATGCAAGAACTTGCCTAACAGTTGTTTGTAATTTTTAGGTTGTAGAGCTAGAGAGCAAGATCCTAGCTGCCCGCCACCTCCCCCTCCCCCCCCACCCCCGTCTGCCTCACCATTCTGCCTCTCACCCCTAGGCCTAGATGACTTCCACCTGTCCATCCACAGTGACATGGCAGCCATTGTGAAAGCCATGGCCTCCCCTGAATCCGGGCTGGAGGTCCGAGACCGCATGTGGCTCAAGATTACCATCCCCAATGCTTTCATCGGTGAGAGGAAAGACAGGGATGGCACAAAGAACAGGGGTGGGGGATGATGGGAGAGGGTAAGTGGGGGGGTCTCAAAACACCTTGAGGTGCTCCTATGAGCTCCAGTCTCAAGGCTTCTGTGAGGCCTGATGAGCCCAAATCAGGTGGCCTCCCAATCCAGTGGTGACATTGTCCCCAGGCTCGGATGTGGTGGACTGGCTGTACCACAACGTGGAAGGCTTCACTGACCGGCGGGAGGCCCGCAAGTACGCCAGCAACCTGCTGAAAGCTGGCTTCATCCGCCACACCGTCAACAAGATCACCTTCTCTGAGCAGTGCTACTATATCTTCGGTGACCTCTGCGGTAGTACGTGCCTCCCCCATCTCCTTACCCTCTCTCCTGGCTGGAGTGGGAAGGTACCCAGAGCTGTGGCAGCCAACTGCAAGGAATGTGGAGAAGGGGGCAGCGGAGCTTAATGCCTGAAAGTTCTGTAGTGGGGGCGATGCCCACTCTAGCCTCTTTCCCAGCTCTGCATCCCCTTCTTGCGGCGGGGATTTCCTAAGTGTCTGCCTGGGGCTGGCGCCATGCTAGCTGTTTTCAAAGCATTATCTCACTTAAGTCCTCACGATGTCCATCCCGCCATTGGGGGTATGGATTACTATCCCTGATTTCAGCTGAGGGAACTGACATTTGTAGAAGTTAAATAGTCTCAGGTCTCACAGCTAGAAGCAGAAGAGAGGCCTTAGCTCTAGGTCTTTCTGGCTTCAGGTTTCTTATTCTTCCCACCACCCAGGACTGCTCTGATGTATGTAGTACTACAGAGGCATTGTCTCAGCAAGGCCACACAGAATTCCCATCTTTGACCCCCTTCTAAGTCTCCCAGCAGGTTCCACCAGAGCAGGGCCAAACACACAGCTTCTTAGGCCCCTGCAGGCAGGCCTTGCCTCAGGATAAGGCTGGAGAAGTTCTCAGGACCAAGTTATGAGGACCCCAAACTGCCCCACGGAGTTTGGACTTTGTCCTGAAAGAGTACAAAGCCACTTGTGGTTATTAGGCAGGAGCGGTCTGTAGGGTTCCCTGACCCTCCCTTTTCCTTCGGAGCTTGTGGATAGCTTCTGAGAATGGGAATCCTCAAAAGACAGGATTACTTAGGGCTGGATGCAGAAGCCCATCTTTCTGCCTGAGTGAGCCTTTCCTCTGTGGGCTAGCGAATAGAAGCCAATTCTTTTTTTTTTTTTTCTATTTTTTATTTATTATTATTTTTTTAAATAATATAATAGTTTGCTTTTACATCATTTTGTGACTTTTTCCATCTCAGTTGTAATCCCCTTGGGCTTCCCAAAAGCCAATTCTTAAAAGTGGTTAAATTCTAGGGGCTAGTATGGCTGTTCTGACAGATCACAAGTGCCTGGTGGAGGGTTGGGTCCCTGCTCCTCTCCAGCTCTAGTATAATCTGCAGAGTAGTGATAGATGCATAGTGTTTTGGAGTCAGATAGTTTGAGTTCAAGTCCTAGCTCCAGCCTTACTATGTGAACATGAGTAAATAATGCGACCTTTCAATGCCTCAGTTTTTTGCTCTGTGAGATGGAGATAGTAGTAGAACCTGTCTCCTAAATCTATTTTGAGGACTGCTTTTAGCAGTGTGTTTGATCCATAGTAAGCAGGATATAAAATTTGTCCATTAGTCAAGTCATATTTAATTGATTCTCAGTTGAACAGTTTTTTCACTTTTCAGTGTCTGAATTGGGGTTCATCTTATGATCAGTGTCTTCTTAGATTCAATCAGACGTGGTTATTATCATCATTAGCAGAATTCATTGCTAGCCTCGGATCACAGAGACACATAGAGTTTCTCATAGTATCTGTGGCTTTTGCTCAAGAGACATGGCTCCTTCTCTCTGGCCTCCTGGGTCTTTACCCATGGACCAAGGCCACCAGAGGCCCAGCCCAGGGACATGCTGACAAAATAGGCCTTTTCCTTCTCACTAGCTGAGATCTCAGCAGGGACTGTAGCAGGCTCAAAGAAAAGAGCCTGGAGCCCTGGGGCACATAGTCACTCTTCTCAGGACAACCACCAGGAGACCAAAAAGTAGTCAAAAGTCTTTGATCACAGCAAGGCAGAATCCTGCTTCCCACCTCCTCCTCCCACCCTCACTTTATCGCTAACTGCTGGCCTTCACAGGTTGATGGCTTGACTTGCAGACACCACAGAATGCTTCAGCCTGTTCAGAGACCCTCCTCACCTCTTCTCCCCTGGACATTGGGCTGGCTCAGTCTGTGTCTGGCAGGGGACCCCTAGGGCAATTACCACTTGCAGAACCCTGTGACCTGGTGTACATGGGGTGTAAGCAGGGTCCCTGGCAGGTCAATCCTAGTGGTCTCTTACACTTCCTTCCAGGGGATTCCAACATTGCTGAGGGCAGCCTTGTCTTTAAGGGTACACTTAGGGAAACCAGAGTCATGAAAGAAGTCATGTTAATACAGTGAGACAAGTACTGTGAAGAACCAGGCCTGACTGGAAATGGGGTGGAGAGCACAGAGAAGGCATCTAAGTTGCTTTCTTTTTGGGCCTTTCCTACCCGACTTCCACCAATGGTCACTATATGGGGAGGCTCTGAAAGGCCATATGGACATTCTGGCTTCTAATGGGTATTTTTTAGACCTGGGTGAGGAGGGGAGGGCAAAATTACACCTGTACTTCCCCAAACTTCTCCCTGCTCCTCTCCAATGACCTCATCCAGAAGGTAAGGAGAAAGTGAGCGACTTTGAGCTCCTGTTCTGACTACAGTTTAGGTTGGCCTCCGGCTGGGCATTTAACCTCTCTGGACTTTACTTTCCTCACCTGGAAAAAATGTGAATAATACTTTCTTCATAGAGTTACATGAGCTGAAGTGCTTTTGTATTGTCACTGATAAATTATACGTACACAGTGCCTGGTGGTATCTGATATTACAAGCCTGCCACATTCCCCAGTGAAAAAAGGAGAAAATTGCCAAATAAGGATTTTGCCCCCTTCTTCCACCCCTCTGTGAAAAGAGATCATGCCTGACACTTGACCTCCAGGGAAAAGGGAATTGGGTGTCAGGATTTGATATTGAGCCTCTGAAATGGTGACTCGGGGCTCTCCTGAGGAGGCTTTTCCCTGGACCTACCGCTGCAACCTTTCTCTCACCTTCTCCGGTAAGTGGCAGAGAGGGTTTGAAGGAGCCCGAAGTCTCTGGCCTATGTCTCCTCCACTTCAAGGGAGAAACTACCAGGGCTGCTGGTGTTCCAGATGCACTCCCTCACCCCAGACCTAGGCTGGAGGGGTACAGAGGATTATGGGTTGGAGAGCCAACTCATCCAGCCCTCTTCTCCCCCCCACAGACATGGCTAACCTGTCCCTCCATGATCACGATGGCTCCAGTGGCGCCTCAGACCAGGACACGCTGGCCCCTTTGCCGCACCCGGGAGCTGCCCCTTGGCCCATGGCTTTCCCTTACCAGTACCCACCACCTCCACATCCCTACAACCCGCACCCAGGTTTCCCTGAATTGGGCTACAGCTATGGTGGGGGCAGCGCCAGCAGTCAGCACAGCGAAGGTAAGGCAGAGGAACATCGGAGAGGGGCTCAGGCTGGGCCCAGGCTTCCTCCATAAGCTCTGAACATCTCCCACCCCTGCATGCTTGTCCTCTACAGGCAGCCGGAGCAGTGGGTCCAACCGCAGTGGCAGCGACCGTCGGAAGGAGAAGGACCCGAAGGCCGGGGACTCAAAGTCAGGTGGCAGCGGCAGTGAGTCGGATCACACAACTCGAAGCAGCCTGCGGGGGCCACGAGAGCGGGCACCCAGTGAGCGCTCCGGTCCCGCAGCCAGTGAGCACAGCCACCGAAGTCACCACTCACTGGCCAGCAGCCTGCGCAGCCACCACACTCACCCAAGCTACGGCCCCCCTGGCGTGCCCCCTCTCTACGGCCCCCCCATGCTGATGATGCCCCCACCGCCTGCAGCCATGGGGCCCCCAGGAGCCCCTCCGGGCCGTGACCTGGCCTCCGTGCCCCCTGAACTGACCGCCAGCAGACAGTCTTTCCGCATGGCCATGGGAAACCCCAGTGAGTTCTTTGTGGATGTGATGTGAGCAGGGCCCTTCCCCTTCTTCCATCCCACCCCACCCCTGCTGGCTGAGACCCTCTCTCCATCCGTCCATCTTTTTTACTTTGTCTGGTACCTGGAAGGGTAATAAATGGAACTAAATTCAGGCGCGCTAACTGCTAGCTGGGTGCAGCGAGGATGGGGTGCACCCACCGATCACCGCTGTAGCCCCTAACCTGCAACTCACCCCAGTTTGTGCCCTCTGCCCACTAACCACTGCGCAGGATATCCCAAGATCTTTCCTGTCCCTGGGACCAACTTGCCAATGCTGGTCCTTACTCCCCTCCTCCCCAAAACACTTCAGAAGTTGATCCTAAGCCCTTCAGTGGTGCCCTTAGCCCTGCCTTTCTCCCACTCAGTTCCCTTTCACCATGCAGTCGGCTACATCTTCCCTCTTCACCCGTCCCCTCAAGCATGTGTGCCAATATCTTGAATTCACCTGCCACAACACTGATAATTAACAAAATAGTTGCTTCATCTACCCCTCCTCCTAACCCAACCCCTGCCCGTCAGTCCTGCATCCCAGAGCTGCAGTCACCTCCGGTAACCCATGTTATCCCTGCCTGGGCTCAGCCCTTACCAGAAGCCCAAAGAGGCCCTCTCAGTTGCCTGAGCTATTAGTGGCTTTCAGGGAGCTTCTGAACTCTACCCCTTCCCTGTGCCTGCTCTGTGTGCCGGTTCCTTCAGACCCCTAATCCTACTAACCAGCAGGCTCGTCTCACCTCTGGGCCTGAAACATTTCTTTTCTTTCTTTTTTCCTCCCCCAATTTTTCCTGGGCCTGGAGCAGCCAAGAATTTCGGGCTGTTTGACTTTCTGTGAACCCCCAGCAAGGGGAGGCCCAGCCTCGGAGGAGACCAGGAACCCAGCTTCAGCAGCCCCTCAGGGCTTCCCAAGGATATTCAGCCCCCACACCCGCACTTCAACATGTTGAGTCACTAGACTTCTGGGGAGGATCCCCGCTTCTCATCCATCTGTGAGACTCTGTTCCCCTTTCCAGAGAGTACCTGCTGTTCATGAGCTCACTCTCTCTCACATTGGTGTGCACACAAACGCAAATGTATACACACGTGCCTATGCAAATTTGCTTAATCTCAGGGCTGGTCCCTGGTAAGGGGGCTGGACCCTCTCTCTTAGTCCTCTCCCACATTATGGGGCTGGTCCCCTTCCCTTTTCCCTTCCTCAGAGCCTCAAACCTCCCACACGTGTCCCTATCATCTTCCTACCAGAATAAAGCCCATAAGCTAGGTCTCAGGCTGGACTCAGCAGAGGATTCCCTCAGAAAATGAACAAGCTATTCTCACCCTGGCCCCCAAGCATCACCCCTTCCCCTGTTTTCACAATCACCATATTAGCCCAAGGCAAGATTGGGCAGAGGGACTTGAGGGACTTTCAGACAGAGTGCATGTTTTCTTTTTTATCTTCTACTTCACTTGAAACGAATCAGGTGACTTTGTCTTTAAACTTCTTTCTATAAATTCTGACTTACCTGGGCTCCCATATTTTTAGGACTGGGTTGTCAAATGTGAAATGAAGTCCTAAGCAAAATTTTGGCCTTCATTCATTTAAAAAATACTTCCTGGATTTTGGGTGAGTGAGGGCTTTGTTGGAAGTATGACTCAGTTTTAACCTGCCTTCTAAGATCTCTGGATTTGCTCCCAAACCAGATTATGGCTTCCTTTATAGGGCTACCTCCTGTTCTCTTCCTTCTCTGACTCTCTTAAGAATTACTCCACTGTTGTTCATGCCTCCAGTATTGATGCTCCCAATGTTCTGTCTCGTTCACTTCTCTATTTACTCCCCAAATGTTGTCATCCATCCTTATGCCCTCATCTGCCACTGACATGCCGTTGGTCACCAGATATACATATAACATATATGTATACATATCTCCAGTCCTAAGTTCCTTCCAATCTTTAGAACTATATTTTAGTCACCCACTGAACATCTCCTTGGATATGTCCACAGTGACTCAACTCATTTTCCCCACCAAGTGTGGTTATCCTGAATTCCAGTCCTGATAACTTTCATTACAATCTACATAGACTTGCCATCTACAAACATTTATAGACTTAAAATTCCTTATTAGCATCGTATCTCCATTCCACTCCAACAATCTTGTGAATCTGGCCCTTCCTTTCTCCTCTCCTCTAGTTCACTGGAGCATAGGATTTGAAGTCAGGTTGTTCTGGGTTTGAATCCCAGCTCTGCTTTTTGATTGCGTGATAGGAGAGTTATTTAATCTCTCTGAGCCTCAGTTCCCTCATATGTAAAATGACAATAATAATACCTACCTCACAGGGTTGTTGTGAGGATTTAAATTAGATATTGTACGAGAAGTGCCTAGCACAGTGCCTGGCACACGGTAGAATAGGTGCTCAATAAATGGTAGCTATTATTAATATTTTTTTATTATTGTTATCAACTCTAAATTGGTAAGAGTTTAAGATATGTATTCAAGATAAAGCTTTTGGAAAGGTTGAGTGAAGCTTTGAGTACTGTTTCAAGGGTAGAAATGACTTTTCCATCACTTTAATGGCTTCAGACAGGGGCCACAGTTTAAAGAATGCTTCCACATCCTGGTTTCTGGCAGGAGTATGCTAGGGACAGTAAGATTTGCACATAGGCTTGATCCTTCTTACCCTCCCTGACATGAAGGACTTGGTCCTGCCCTGATAAGACAACAAAGTATCTGCCTATAGTAAGAAAAGAAAACACATTTCTGGAGATCAAGCTGGCATGTCCAATAAAAAGCCAGTGACCTCCATTTAAACACTAAGATGAACTGCATCAGAGAGGGAATTTCAAATCCCATGTCCAATTAAATTTGGCTCGCCAAAGGTTTTCTGAAGGATATAAATGTCACTAGAAGGCACATAGTTCCTGGCTTTGAGGAGCTCATCACATAGATACATATAGCTGAAGTGGAACAGGCACGTTCATACAAAACTGAGCTAGTTTCTTTCAAGTATCTCTCCCATCACTTCCTGTCCTCGGTCTTGATCCTTAGGGAAAGACTCAACTCAGTAACAATTGCCATGAGTAAAGCTTGGGAGAATCAGAGGTGGCCTTAGAAAGCCACCTAAGTTGAACACAGACACCTCCATCAGCCAAGTGGTGCCTTTGTGTGTAAACTTTGGACAGCTAGTCCTCGTACTTCGAAGACAGAAAAGGCCTGCGGCAAGCAAAGGATTAACTTGCGGGCTTCCAAATTGCACTGATCCTCCCAGGCTCTCGGAAACATTGAAATATGAGCAGGGAGGATGGCAAAGACCACAATTCCCAGAGTTCGTAGCGAGGAAAATTAATCTCTCGGAGCGGCGTGTGCCATACGTGTATTTACGGTAGGGAAGGCCAAAGCCACTCCTTCGCGTACCTAAGGCACCTGTCCACCCACAGACGGTGCTCGAAGGCAATCGGTAGTTGTAGTTCCACTAAACCTAGAGCGTTTACAATTGTAAACGAGAAGGCCGAGGGGCCTTACGGGATTTGTAGTCTGCGCGGGAGGCGGACGCGCACGCGCAGCTAAGGCTGGGGCGGGGCCGCGGCACTGCGGTGAAAGCCGAGGCAGCGGGCTGGCGAGCAGGGGGCGGGCGGACATCTTGGGATCCGGAGAGTGGCCCGGCGGGCTAAGCAGGGGGCCGAGGACACCAGGTGAGCTTGGGATCTGGCCTTTGGGGTGAGGGAGAATGCCTGCCTCGCCTCCCAGCTTTGCTCTTTCCTGCACTGCGCTAAACGGAAAGCTGCCCACACCCGGGAGTGGCCTTAGCCTTAAGATCCCAGAGGGAACTGACGGGGCGGGGGTGCCCGGGGCGCGGTTGCAGGACGGGTGGGGAACCGCGTCCTCCGCCTGACCCGCCCGGCGCCTTCCGTGAGAGGGAAACGTACAGGAATTTCTCCCCAGGCAGGGACGTCGCGCGACGTCCCCTTCCTTGGGATCGGACAACCCACCTACCCCTCCGCGCCTCCTTTCCGGAGCAAGGACAATTCCCCCATCTCCTTAGGCAGTGACACCTCCTTGTGACAAGCCTCCCCCCCTGTGGCAGCCCCTTCTAGTTGAGTGACACCCGCATCTCTCCCTCAGACCTGTGACAGCCCCCGCACCTTGTGGAACCATCTTTTCCCTTGATGTCCCTCCCCGGGGCGAAAAGCTCACCAGCCTTTCATGTCTACATCAGAACCCCCAATGCTGGCTTCCTCTCCCCAGCTTTTCCTTATTCACCACTGTCAATCTCTCCCTGCTGCTTTTCCTCTTCAAAGTCTTAACCTTTGCCCTACTAGAAAATCCCTGTGAGCCCACCAGCCCTTTTGCTGCTGTGGACTCACCTCTGTATATCACCTGGTTGCTGCTGCCAGTCTTCCCCTTAAGTATATATTCCTCTCCTGCCCTGCCGCCCACCCCCTGTGCTTCTTTTCTCAGATGCCCTGAGCTGTCTCTGTGAACTTGTTTCTTTGCCCAAGGCTCTACCTCCATTTTGCATTTCCTTTCCCAGCCTCTTTGGGACTGAGAATGAGAGGTGTCCACTACCTAGAAAGGGATCTCATTGATAGACACAGTAATAGGCTTTATTTTCCAGTTTAGAGAAGTGTACTTAAATCCTCTCCACCACCCATGTGAAATTAATACCAAGGCTAATCCAGGAAATCTAGAACTAAATTAAATTAACCCTCTTTCGCCTTGCATACAGTCTAAATTAGTCTGACCCAAATAATTTGGATAATTCAGGCTTCTGCCCCTTGCTTATAAACCCTTAGGCCAAAAGTGAGTTTTGTTATAGGTCTGGAATCACAGAATTTCAGGTAAAAAGATCTCTTAATTGTATGAATCTGCACCCCTTCACCAGCTCCCCACTTATTTTTTTGGAGTCAGAGCTGAGAGGGAGTCTTCCTTTTTGAAAGAAGTGGAGGTGGTGTTTTAAAAAAAAAAAAAGTATTAAGCAGCTTGGGTCATTAAGGTAGTGTGCTAGGGCTGGGACTTTCTACTCTGCTCTTTTGCCTGCTTATCTGACAGCCTGGGAGAGGTTAGGGCCACACTCCTGGGTCTCTGTCAGCCAGTGCGGAAGGCCTGTCTTCTCTCCTCCCCCCACCCTGCACACCCTTTCCTGGAATGTTTAGCGATCTGTGAATTAAAGAGACAGAGGTTCAGGCCCTGCTACCCTCTCTTAAGGGGGGTGGAGCTTGAGAGACTGGGTGCTCCTGAAGCTGTGCCTGGGGCCCCCAGCCCCGGCCTGAACCAACTGGAGTAATTCCTACCGCCATTCCATTCCTGCAGCCATTCCATTCCTGCAGCCGCAGGCAGGCTTTCGCAGTGACTCATTGGCTAGCGCCTGAGTGAGTACACTGGAAGGGTCGAAAGGATCCTTGCTAAACACGACCTGGGAAGAGGGGGGTAGGGAGCTAAAAGGGAGGGTCAGATGGCCTTAGAATCCTGGGCCTAAGTCAGTCAGATTCTTTTTTCCTTTCCAGAGTGGGATAAACAGGAACTGGAGCTGGCTGAGGGGAGGGGCATGCCTGGGAGGGCTGCAGGGTCACTTGCTGGAGAGTTGAATCAGAAAAAAAGCCCTGCCAGTGGCCTGTCCAGTTCCACTGAAGATATTGACAGATTCCAAGACCTTCCCTTACCCTGCCCCCACTGTCCTAGGTCTGTTCTCAGAGCGATGGGCCGAGGAGACTGAGCTGCCGCCATGATTGGAGGCTTATTCATCTATAATCACAAGGGGGAGGTGCTCATCTCCCGGGTCTACCGAGATGACATCGGGTGAGTCCCCTGGCTGAACCAGCTGCGCTCCCCACCAGCCCTGCCCTCCTTCCCAGCATGCAGGACCAGGTCTTTCCTACCAGAGGACCATCCCCCACCCCTCAGTGTAGCCTGGAAGCTCAGCTGGTAAAGCTTGGTTCCCATTCGGCCTGGTACTGGCCACTAGGCAAGACCCGTGGAATGGCGAGGTCCCCCCAGTCTTAAGAACTTCTGTCCTTTCTGCCTCCTCTTTCCCCTAGTGACAGAGATGGTTGCTGGAGATGAGTGCTTTTGCTGGGGCAGGTTGATTCCTCCTTTGAGGAGGAGGGCGTGCTCTCCAAGGGGTGGAGTTGGTGGTCATGCTGGAGGTACATTTAAATTTTGCTCTCAAAAGCCCTTTTCTTGGTGACAGTGTTCACTGATTCCCTTGAAAACCTCTCCAGGCTGCCATATCTTCTCCTTTCCCAGAAGGAGGCAAGCTGCTGACTCAGTTGTTTCATTTCCTCTGGGCCACTCCTGGAGGAGAGCTTGTGAGCAAGCCTGAGGCTCTCTCTGGGCCACTGAGGAAAGGGCAGGGGGCGCTGCGCAGGTTTCTCAGCTTACATCTGGGCTAGCTGCTTGTTCTGGATCCCTCAGCCTTAACGAGGAGACCCAGCTGTACTTCTCATCCTGCCCTACCCTGCATGCCACTGTTTTCCTGATGGAGGGGCATGTCCTGGCCTCAGCTCTAATGAGATTAGACTCCTCTGGTTCTTGCTGTCCTGTTTTCTTCCTCAAAGAGCTTGGACTAGACAGCCAGGAGATGGACTTGTAGTAGCCCGGCTGCTTTGCCCTTGGCTTCTGTGCCTGTTGGGCTGGACAGACCTTTGGGGCTATGTGTCAGTTGGCTGGTGGTAGAGCATGAGCTAAAGTTGTAGCAATGCCTGGCTTGCCTGAACCTGGCTGGACGCCTGTCTGCCTCTCCTGCTGTGGATGGACCTAGATAAACCAGGGCCACTGTACATGCGGATTGGCATGCCTTGCTGTGCTTTTCACCCCTTGCCTGGAGCTTGTTTTCTGCCTCATGGTGTGTGCTGCCCACCCCAGTGTGTTGTGTCTAATCCTCTCTCTCGTTGCTGTCACTCTCCTCTTCTTGCTGGCGTCATTTCTCTCATCCCATCTCATTGGCTGTCGTAGCAATAGGTAAGCAGCCTGTCAAGCTGCCACCAAGGCACAGGTGGGTGGGGGGCCCTGCCCCCCCATCATTGTTTCTTTATCCTTTTTCATTCCCTAAGCTTGTCTGGAATTGGATCCTGGACAAGAATGGGTGACCCAGCTCCGGGGCGCCTTGGAGCGTCTCCCTCAGTAGAGGACAGCCTTCTCTGGAGTCATGCTGGCTTTGTATTTATTAACTTTTGGAAGAGTCAGTCTTTTCCATTGGTGGGATCATTAATATGAAGACTGGAGAAGAAGCAGATCTTTTTTTTTCATCTTGACCTGGTAGCAGCTGGAATATAGCTGGGAAATTAGGGCCAGGCTGGGAGCAGGAACAGACCTTCCTAAACCCAATTAAACTAAACTTGATTAAAGTTACATCTACCCTCCTGTCATTGCTGCTTGACTCTTCTTGTCGCTCTTGTGGACTTCAGATACCAGCCCAATTCTGGCCCTTCTCCTGTGCCCTCACT